ACGCTCTTCTCCTACTAGAGCCAATGCATTTAGGGAAAAGAAGTCAGGATTGAGAGGGTTCAATGGCTTCCTACTTACTAACAAGATGGTCCTGAGCCTCTCGTGGCCTCATTTTCTTCTCTCTCATATTGCAGAATTAATCCTCTTCACACCACTATTTGTGGATCCGCTGGGTTAATATGGAGAAATGAGGGAACCAGCAGTTAGCGTAATGGCTATGTCACTGGACTCCCATGTAGCCGACTGCAGTTCGCGTCCTGGACCCAGTGGCTTAAAACTCACGCTGGGCGTGTGTGTGTGCGTGCCCAAGATCCCGAGAGGAGAATGGAGGAGAAGGGATTGCGGCATGATCATCCCCTCTGGGGGGTAATTTCTCGCTTTCTGTCTCTATGTCTCTCTCTGTCTGTCTGGGGAGCGCATGCGCCCTATAGTGAAAAACCTCTCCAAAAGAAAAAAAAAAAAATGGAGAAATGAAACGACTATGCCAGGGGAGGATCTGACTATGGTTGCCTTTTCCTTTACCATTTTCCTGATTTTTATTTCTTTGTCACCTTATCTTCATTATCTTAGCTTTTATCCTTATAGAAAAGTAAAGCGAGGGCCGGCCCAGTGCAGTGAGATAAGCCCTGTGCATGGGGAACTGAATCCCACATGGCTAACTACAGTTCAAATTCTGGCCTTGACAGCGTGAAAAACACACGGGGCTCATGTACGTGCCTCTAATCCTGACAGGATGGAGGAAGTGGAGGAAAGGGATCGTGGCATGACCACACCTCATGGAGAGGTACTTTCCTTCTTTTATTTTAGAGATTTTTGCTGTAGGGCATGTGCACTTGTCGGAGAGACAGAAAGCAAGAAATCACCCCCAAGAGTGGATAGCCACACCACTGTCCCTTCGCCTTAATTCTCTTCCTGGAATTTTGGGCATGCATGCACACGTGCCAGGCATGAGTTTCAAGCCACTGGGTCCAGGACTTGAACCGCAGTTGACCACGCTGAGAGTCCAGCACCTTAACCACTGTACCACCTGCTGGCTCCTTTCTCTCTCTCTCTCTCTTTTGTTTTCCTCTCTGGTGAGCACACAGGCCCTCTTGCAATAAAAAAATAAAATAAAAAAATGTTGAGGACTTTTAAAACACAATATCCAATGATTCTAAGGATCAATGCTGTTTTTTATGATTTTTTTTAAGGTCTCAAAAGTTGAGAAATGAAGCACAAGGTTAAAATGTAACCTGTTTTGGATAAAGGCAAGATTGGAAGGCAAGCTTAGGAAGAACAATGACCAGCAGAGTAGACACAGTTTGCCAACCACCGACCATGCTGGGCAGGCCCCGAGTCCTGGAGGAGCTGATTGGTCCTGCTTTCTGCTGGCAGCTCGCTCTCACAGTGGGTGGACAGAGTGGCACAGAGGAGGTATAACATAGCAGCAGGAGAGGCTAGCCGTGTTTAAGGTAGGGGCCCAACTCTCAGATGGAAACTTCAGGGTGGGAGTCCAAAACCAAGTATGTCCAGCTCACTCTCCCCAATGTGCCACTCAAATTTAACCTCCCAACCCCACCGAGTATGTGAAATCCAAAGGCTTCCTTGCTGCAGATGCTGAGATGCTGGCCTCCCTTTGAACTTCTGAAGCAAGATGCTAGGCCAAGCTTGGAAATGTCAAGGGCAGGCAGGAGTGTGGCCAAGGACCCATCTTTACTCAAACTTGCTTCTCTCTGCACAGTTGGGGACTTCTACCTGGTCAGCTACACTGCCTCGCTCCAGACCAGAGATGGAGACATCAGGAATGGGGACAGCCTCATGCTTCCTGCCCAGCTCACCTTTCAGAGCTTATCACTGGTATTTTCTTTGTCACTTTGATTTCTGTCTTGCACTATGGCATGCAGTTGTTTTAGCAACATTGACATTTAGGACATAAATCCATCAGTTCATTGTTTCATGCATTTGGTGATACCAGGGTAAGGGATGGTCCCTGGAGTCTGACACATGTTGCTATGAACACAAGTGTGACCTAACGTAAGTTTTTTAACCCCTCTTGGGGTCTCACACAAGGTTATTATAGGGCTAAGTAATCAAAGATGTCAGTTTCTCATCACTGTCTTGCACATGGTAAGACTTCACCAGTAGTTATTGTTACTATTATTTTCCTAGGGCTGCAGGACACTATTATTTTCCTAGAGCTGCACAACAGAGTATCACAAACTGGGTGGCTCAAAACCACAACACGTACCTTTTTACAATTCTGGAGGCTGGAAGTCCAAGGTCAAGGTGTCAGCACGGTCGGTTTCCTCTGAGGCCTCTCTCCTTGGCTCATGGCTGCCCTCTTGACCCTGTGTGCCCTCATGCTTTTCCCTCTGTGTCCTAATCACCTCCTTATAAGAACATCAGGCATACTGGGTTAGAGTCGATCCTGGCGACCTCATTTGACCTTAACACCTCTTTAAAGACCCTCCTCCACATATACATTCTGGAGTCCTAACTCCTGGGAGTTAGGACTTCACCTCATGAATTATAGTGGGTGTAATAGCCCATAACATCCTCACTGCTAGTCTCCGTTTCCCACTTGCCGATTGGTGAGTCCACTCCCACAGTGAGGGCTGGCAGGGGCCCGTCCTGGGCAGATGCTGCCCCCCTCAGGCACAGGCTGGAGGAGAGGAGGTCCTGTCCTCAAGACGCTCATGATCCCCTGGGTCCTTTTTTCATTTTATTCTGCCTTCAGCCTTGGAGAGAGAGTCCCTTTTCAAGAGATAGGAAAATGCAGCTCAAAGGGCAACTGGGACTGTCCTAGGTGAAGGGAACATTAGAAGGCACTAAGAATGAACTCATGCCGAGTTAGGGCTTAAGTGCATTAGAGTCGGGGATGGGGGGTGAGTGGTGTCTGTCAGAGCCCATTTGTCTATACACTTTTCTCCTGTGAAGGAAGCAGATGCTCAGACACTGCCAGTCACAGGGCTGGCCGTGATCTGCCCTGGGTCATGGGGCTGGCAAGCTGTGGAGTTAGCGCTCAACCCCAGCTAACCTGACCCCCGTCCCAGCATTTCGCCTCAAGGGCATTCTGCTGCCACGGCTTTCTGGGCTATCAAGGAGATGGTGCCTGGATTTCACATAAGCCTCCAGTAGAGGAGGAGAGGTCATAAACCCACAGACCATTTCCTCTTGAGGGACTTTAGGACTTGCAAGCTCCAGCTCGCTCAACAGTCAGGGGCCAGGTGTAGTTCCAGGGATCCTGGGTTGGAAATAACACCAAATGTTACCCCATGCCTCAGGCTTCAAAAGTGGTTGACCAAAGTGTTTTTCTGTTTGTTTGTTTTGTTTTTCTTTTTCTAGAACAGAACACAGCTGAAAGCCCTTTTTACCATAACAACAGAAGAAAAAGTAATGGTAAGAGATCATGTATGACCTGAACACCCAACTCCACCTTTTGGTTTTGTTTTATTTTATTTTATTTTTGCATGCACACACATGTGCCTGGCATAATTTTCAAGCTGCTGAGTTCCAGACTTGAATTGCAATCAGCCATTCGGCCATATGGGAGTCTAGCGCCTTAACCACCATGCCACCTGCTGGCCCCTGCCTGTGTGTTTTTTGATGCCTGTCATGCACTGATCCATTGCTTGTTCTCAGAGCCAAGAGGAGGGCCAGCCACAGGCCTGGGTACCTTAGACACCTGTTGATGCAGGGACTATGCACTCTCCCAGGTTCCCCTGGTGTGGCCTGAGGCTGTGTGGCTAGTTTCCCCAGGTGACCCTTCCATCTGGACAAGACAAACTGGCCACTTCCTGGACCGGCTGAGGCTCTACCTGCCCAACTGAGATGCTGTTTATCGAGTTCCTACCCACCCCTAGCGTTCACTGCCAGGTCCAGGGGTTGGTGAAGGGTTTCTTCTAGATCTTAGCAGAATGTTGCCATTGGTGGGCAGGTATCCTGCTTCTCCTCTTCACCATTAATACTCTCCTGTTTTGTAAATCAATTTGCTCACTCAGAGCTCACACATTCACTCATGCCTGCATCTCTCCTGTGGTAAGTTACTATGTAACAATACAATACTTCACATTCTCTTTACTTATTTATTGCATGAAAATAAGATGTCACCTCAGTGGGGCTTCATGCTGCAGTCCACCCCCAGCCTCAGCCTCCCTGGATTTGGAGCATGTGCATATGAGCACGTTCACACAGGTCTCCAGATGTGAACCTGGAACCTTCCCATGTGGGTCTGCCTCTCAGAGTGTTGTTTAACTGATATACCACTATCTGGCCCCACTTCACTTTTTTTTTGTTTTAGAGAGATTTTTGCTATTGGGTACATGTGCTTGCCGGACAGACAGAGAGAGACAGAGGGACAGGAAGTGAGAAATCACTTCCCAAGGGGATGGCCATACCACAATCTCTTCTCCTCCATTATCCTTTCGGGATTTTGGGCTTGCACTCACACGTGCCTGGCGTGAGTCTTAAGCAGCCGGGTCTGGGACTCGAACTGTGGCTGACCATATGGAAGTCCAATGATGTAACCAGTATGCCATCTGCTAGTCCTGCCACTTCACATTTCTTAAGCAGCTCCTGAGTGCCAGGCATTCTAAGCAATTTACAGATGCTAAATCATGTGGTCTTCACCACAATATTGTGAGATAGGTTCTGTTTTTATCCTGTTTTCTAATTTTGCCAGAGGGTACATGTACTTGTCAGAGACAGTCAGAGAAGGAAGGAGGGAGAGGGAGAAAGCATCCATTAAAGGGGCATGGTCATGCCACAATCTCTTCTCCATTTTTCCATCTTGTAGGGACTTGGGCATGCATACATACGTGCCCAGTGTGTTTTTCAAACCACCAGAGCTGGGATCAAACCAGTGGGCTAGGTGGGATTTGACTCCCTTTAACCATTAGGCCACGAGGCCGGCCTTAGATTCTATTTTTAAATCACTCTCATTTCATAGATGTGAACCAGGGCACACTAAAGTTAAGTAGATGGCCCAAGGTCACACGCTGGTGTGTCTGGAGTCCCGAAGATCACACCCTGGTTTGATGATTCTCTACGGTGACTTGCAGGACTTATGTGTAGTTGTACCCACAACTGTGATTTCATTACAGTGAAGGGTGCAAAGTGAAATCAGCACAGGGGAAAGATGCATGGGGCCAAGTGTGGAGAAAACCACTGCACACTTCCAAGAGTTCTTTCCCAGTGAAGTCACCCAGGGTGCACTTAATTCCCCTGGCAGTGAGTTAGGACAGAACATGTAGAATGTTGTCTACTAGGGCAACTCACTGGGGCCTCTGTGCCCAGCGTTTTTATTAAAGGCTGCTCACGTGGTCAGCACCCTGTCCGCCCACTGATTGTATGTGACCTAGGGCCTGTGACGGACCTCTCTGGTCAGCACCCTGTCCTCCCACTGATTGTATGTGACCTAGGGCCTGTGACGGACCTCTCTGGACCTGTTTCCTCAAATGTAAAATAGGAATAAGGATAGCGTCTACATCATCAGGTGGGCATCGAGGTAAATTAATCAACACATACAAAGCACTCAGCATATTGCATGGCGTTTTGTAGGTGCTCAAACGTCATCACTGGTTGTCAGCAGTATTATTATGTACACATGAAAACAACAAAACTATACCAAGTGTTCTGTGATAACTGATCGACAGTAGCGGTCTTGGGCCGGACACGTGAACTTTTCTGCATGGCTAGTAAGTGGTTGAACCAGCATTTGAGTCCAGGTGGTTTGGCTTCAGAGCCCTGCCATTATGCAGTGGGCTACACTGCCTCCTAGTGAGCCCAAGTCCTGCACAGAAAAGATGGAAATAAAACAGGAGGCCGGCCTTCAGCAAGCCAATGGTTTAGAGGGAGTCGGGAACACAGGAATATTCGCCTTGTCCTGTGAGCGCTGCACGGGTGAGGCCTGGTCTGGTTCGTCTGTGTGTTCCCACTGTGCCTAATGTTGTAGGTGGCCCCCCATAGGTGGAGCTCCCTCGATTGAGCTGATGGTTGTCAGTGAAGAAGGTGGCTGTTCGTGGCATGAGTATAACAGAAGGCCGAGGGCATTCATTTAATGGATATTTTGAGCCCTCCCTCCACGCTCCAGACCTACTCATGTGGATGGAGAGGAGTTGTGGATGTATCCTGGTTCCCAGGGCTGCCCCCATCCACTCATCGCCATGCTGTCTTCAGGAAAACCAGGCTTAGGGCCTCTGGGATGCAGGTGCTCAGTGCAAGGCTTGGTAATGCAGCAGCCCCGCTGGGCCCTGGGCCAGGTATCCTCGGGCCACATTCCAGGACCTCACAGTCGAGTAGACTAACGAGGCATGTTTATGTGGCAGCACTGTAGTGCCATGGGTGCAGCAGGCTCCTGGACCAGAAGGCCTGCACTGAATCCCTGTCCTTCCACTGCTCGTGTGCAACCCAGGGCCTACACATACCTCTCTGGATCTCAGTTTCTCCAGCTGTAAAATGAGAATAGCAGTAGTGTCTCCATCATAGGCTGGGCGTTGAGGTAAAGAAGTCAATGCATGTAAAGCACTCAGCACATCACCTGGCGTTTAGTAAGTGTGCAATGAACATTGCTGTCACCAACAGTGGTATTATTAGTCCATATGAAGACGACAGAACGATGCCATGTGTGCTATGCTAATTGTGAATGAATAACTTTTTTAGGGTTTTGTGCTCAGATACCCACAGGAACTGTGCGGGTGCCATGTGTGTCAGGCCCAGTGCAAGATTCCAGGGAGTCATGGAGTCTGGGGATTCAGATCACCTGTCACGACTCCATCCTCACCCTCACACTGAGGCATTAAGTGAAAATAAAAAATTCAACATGATTATGACTGAATTTGCAAGTGTGTGACTCGACCTATAGATTGTATGTGCCATGGGTATTGATGGGGAGAAAGAAAGAACTCTGTGGGCTGGGTAGACTGACAGGCTTCCTGGAAGAGGAAGATCCAGCTGGATCTGAAGGTAAGATTTAGTTAAAGATGGGGAAGGGGTATTTTGAAATATGCAGCTAAGCCCAGCAGGTGGCACAGAGAGTATGGATGCTGCTGGAGTGTGGGAATCCATGTAGGAAGGCTCCAAGTTCAGGTCCTGGGTCTGCCTGAACATGTGTGTGTGTCCACATGTAATCCTGTAATCCTGGCTGGCTGCAGGGCTGGGAAAAGGATCATGGTGTAAGCACTCTTTCAAGGGTGCCTTTCTCTTTCTTTCATGTGAAGGAAGTAAATAAATAAACTTAAGAATGCATAAACATGCAGAGAGCTGAAGGAAACTTTTAACTTGGTGAGGACTGTTGATTGGACACCAGCCAAGGTGTCCTGGGTGAGACACACATAAGGGGAGGGAGGCCCTTGTCAGTCATAGCATGAGTGCTCACAGGGCTGGGTGGGCACCTGCAGAGGTCATGTGATCATACTAGGAATGTGTGATGAATGGAAGGAGCTCGCCCATGGGGGTAGCAGCTTCGCTGACACTTTCATTGAGCAGTTAAAAAACGTAGAGTAAAGACGAGGTTATCCATCGTGCAGGTGGGGATTCTGCAACACTTGAAACTACCCATCCTCTTCCTAATTTCTTGTTACTTGCTTGAGGGTGACACTGACACTTTGTAGTCAAGGAAAATTTTTTGAGGCTGCAAAAAATTGCTTCCCATTCATCTCAAAAAGTTTTTATCTTTTTCTCTTCTGATGAATACATTTTCTTTGAGAGGAAAAAAAGACATCGCACTGTGCAGGACACAGGGGGCAGGTGTCAGATGGTCCTAGATCTCACCTTCGGCTTCTTGTGCTCATTAAGTGCGTGCGCCATGAAAGGACTGGGTACATGCTAGGCACTGGGAGAACAGGTTGCAGTATTCTGCTGCAGGGATCTCAGGTCTAATCAAGGGAGATATACCTAACCTATGGTTACAGTACCCAAGTTCATTTCAAGTGCACTTTCAAAAAGAATTCTAATGGGGTTGGGGGGATTAAATTAAAAATTCACTTGAAAATATTTATTTATGAAACTAGAGAAGATTTTGAAATGGAAGAGTAATGTGGGAGAATCTACCTCAGCAGATATCTGAAATATTATAGAGTAGGGCCCAGCTGTGGTGCACTGTGAGATGCTAGAACCACACAAAAGACATCGGTTGAGATCCCTGGATAACTAGTAGGCCAAGGTGGGGGGATTGCAGAATGGCAAGGACCTGTCAGAGGACCCCATGTCTCTGTGTTTGTCTCTCTAGCTCTCTCATAAAAGAATGAAATAAATTTTAAAAATTTTATAGAGTTACGTTAATGCAAGAAATGTCAGACCCGTGGAAAAAGACTATCCATAAACATGTGCAGGTAACAAGATGGTGAGTTAGAGCCCAGCTATGGTGGATATTTTTGTTGCTTGGCAGGCTGAGGCTACAT